TGATGCTGCCTGGCTGTTGCAGCTGGGGCTGCTCCTGTCCCTGAGAGGAACTGTTGAACTTTGTGGCTCAGTTCTTCCTTCTCACAACACTCACTGCAAGTCCTGAGGCAGCCACACACTTCCTGGTTCTCTCAGAGCAAACTTTCAAGTGTGAAGTTCCGCATTTCCCACTGGCAGCATACTGGGAGGAGGGATGTCCAGTCTAGGAAAGCTGTAAGGGTGAAAGGGGAGGATGAGGAAGGGGCTAAAAGCCCTCCACTGGGCCTGTGCAGTACTGCTGTCCTATTCTTGCCCAAGGAAACTTGCAGGCTTGTAGATCCAGGTTCTGAGCTGAGGCTGGAGTTGTAATGAAGTTGTTGAATGAAGTTGTCCTGCCTCTGTACCAGGGACATATATCCGGACCAGCGACGGTCGGATTTTTGCCATACGGACCACTGGGAAGCCAAAGGGCAATGAAGACCGTCGGACAGCTGCCTCAGGTAGGGGCTTGTGGGTGCTGTGTGGGGCCTGCACATGTGCTTTCCTGCTGGAGTGTCTGGGGCAGCATTCCCTGGTGTATTCCATCAAGTCTGTGTTAAGGGCTCACCCCACCGTATCCCCAAGATATTTCCACCTTCCTTTCCACTGTTGCCTCTTGGCCCGTGGGTTTTTCTCTGAGGTCACGTTTCTCACCTGCCCCATCTCCTTGTTTGCAGGCTCCCAGAGCTCTTCCCTGGAGTCCACGAGCAATGGCAGACACAGTGCCTCATCCCCGCAGCTCCCCAGCGCGGAGGAGCTCACTCGGCCCATCTCCCCTGACAGCCCCGAGATCATCAGCGAGCTGCAGCAGTACGCGGAGGCGGCGGCCGCGCGCGAGTCCCGCCACAGCTCTCCCAGCAGCACGGCGCCGCAGGGCCACGCCGCCCGCACGGACACCGCGCCCGGCGCCACCGCCCGAGGAGCCGAGCAGCGCCTGGGGGGTCCCTGCGTGGCTCCCTCTGTGTCCTCGGCCCTGCCAGCCACCAGCCAGCACGGCGATGCCCACCCGGTGTTGGACTTACGGGGCAACAAGCGCAAGTCGACGTCGCCGTCAGCTCCGGAGGAGCAATCCCGGAGGCAGCAGAAGAAGCGCCAGTTGCCGTCGTCCTCGCAGCCGTACGAACACGGGTACCCCGTCTCTGGTGGGTTCACCATGCCTCCTGTCTCTTTAAACCACAACCTAACCCATCCATTTGCCTCCCAGCCAGGAAACTCCTTGTACATGGGCACTGGCTCCTCTTATTACCAGCTGCCCAATTTACTCCCAGACCCTCATCTGGTGTTCCCTGTGACTACTGACCCTCTGCTGACAGCCGGCACCGCCAGCTCTTCTGCTGCTACCTCAGCCACCGCCAGCGTCCCCTCATTCATGCTAAACCCTTCTCTGGCAGGGGTGCTGCCCAATTACTCGCTTCCCTTCACGCAGTCACTCCTGCCCGAGCCCAGGATGTTCGCTCCTTTCCCAGCCCCCGTCTTGCCTAGCAGCCTTCCCAGGAGCATGGCATCTGCCTACCCTGGCTACATGTCCCCTCACTCGGGCTACCCAGCTGGGGGTCTCCTTCGGTCCCAGGTGCCTCAGTTTGAACCCCAGGAGGTCCCAGAGGTGGGATGCAGCTCTAATGACGAGGACAAAGACGACGATGTCATAGAGATCACAGGGAAATAAAAAGGCCCAGCTCCTGCTTGGTCTCAGCTCCGCCAGGAGGCAAAAGTTGCAGGACCTTTTTGGGAGTCAGGATTTTCCCTCTGGGCCACGGCAGTGGGTGGAGAAGGATGCGAAGGGTGTGGCGTGGGGGTGGTTTTGTTCTTTTTATTTGGTTTTGTTTTTTAGCTGTCAAGGATAAGAATTGTATTAGGGGCTGGGAGAGGGGAGAGGGATAGAGTGGACCTTTGAGAGCCGGGGGAGCAAGAGCCGGGGAGGAGGGAAGCAGCAATGCAAACTGTAGGAGTGCCTCCCCCCACGCTCTGTCTGTCTGTCTGTCTCTGTTCTCTGTCTTGTCTGGCCGTGGAGGCTTGGTGTTGTGAGTCACTGCCCTTCTCAGGCCTGGAGGTGCGGGCTTGACCGCTGGCAGGGCCGAGCTCCCTCTCACATGAACTGCCTTATCTGTGAACTTCTCTCACTGGGAGAGGGGTGGGCCAGGGGTGACTCCACCAGACTCCACCTTTGTTGGGGACAAAGTGTTTTTAATGGGGAGGGAGTGGGGAGGCATCTACATTGTGTATGTTGGGGCAGGGAGGGAGGGGATTGATGTCAAATAAAAGAAGAAAGAAAAGAAAAAAAATATAAAAAAAGAAAATACCCCACAATTTGTCACCCTCTTCAAATTCACATGAGACTAATGTGAGTGGAGGGCTCCAGGCAGGCTCCTGTGCCAGGCATTTCTGGAGGGTCCCATCCAAGGTAGGTTGGCCCTGTGAGTCTGATGCCACCTCTATGTGCTAGGCCAGATGAGTGGAGCAATGCCACATGTCTTGGTTGCCATCAGAGGGGAATCCTGCTGACTTCCCTGTATCCTGCCAGGCTGTGTGAAGGCCATGTCTCATCCTGCTGTGGCCCACCAGATCCAGGGGTGGGTGGGCTCGCTGCTGCTTCTGAACAGCACCAGGCAGTGGAGAAGGTTGGGAGGGGACACTGGACCAGTGCCAGTTGCTGTTGAATCTGTGACTCGAGAGACTTTCTCCTGCACAGAATCTCTACATTAATTTATTTCATGAAGGCATAATATTTATTGTCTGGGGGAGTCTTTCTTTCTACTTTTAAATTAATTTCCATATTAAAAAAATAAAAAGCTGGCCTCCAATCATGCAGTGGTCACTTGTTGGGTTGTCTATGTGGGGACAGAAGCAGATGGTTGACCAAAGCCTAGCCTAGGAGCAAGGGCCTACTGGGGAGGTGGCCCGTGGCTGACCCGGGTGGCACTGGTTGGATGTGTTCCAGCAGGACATTCTGCCAGAGCAGGAGCTGCTCTGGATGCTGAGCAGCTGGAGGGAAGATGGAATCCTCTTGTCATGGGGCAGGTGGAGGAGCTCATGTGGAAGCCTCCTGTGCTCATTCCCAGTGAGAAGAAGGAGAGCTGTGAGGTGTGTGGAGCTGGAAAACAGAGCTCTTGCTGGGGAAGTGCCTTTCCCCATGCAGGGAGTGCGGAGCCTGGTCCTGGCCCTGCCAGCCAGCACCCCAGCTGTTCTCAGGGCCAGGGCTCCTAGGGAGAGGCTGGGATACCCAGGTGCAGCTGGACTTGGAGCATGTGTGTGTGTGTGACCACGCTGGGAAAGGCATGTGAAATGCAGGAGCCTCCGTGTCACATCTGGGTATCACCATGCAGGAGCTGTGCTCGCCTGCCTTGGATGGCCCTGGAGCTGGTGGTGGCCTGTAGAGGGCCCCTAGGCCATGGAGGCTGCAGGCACTGTGCTTGCTGGGACCAACTAGGTGTAGGAAAGGGCAGGATGTCCTGACATCCTCCACCAAAGGGGTGCTGGAAGATGGGGACCTCCCTTCCTTAGAGAGAGGGTTGTGTGTGCACGCGTGTGTTACGGAAACACAATAAAAAATGTTATGGGGCTTTCCTAGTGTCTTTCTCTGTTCAATGGACATTGTCTGTCAAACATAACCACACCATTCATAGAAGCCTTAGATCAACAGTTTAGCTATGCAAATTATTTTAATTATTTTTTTTAAAAAACAAACATTAAAATAGTGCTTTCTTCTTTAACATATCCTAGGAGTTGAAAACCGAGGGGTTCTGAGCAAACTGCTGGACAACTTGTCTTTGGATGCACCATGGAAATAAAAATCAAACCCCCCCACAAAAGTAACAAAGCAAATTAACTGATGGTGTTCATGCAAGTTTCTCCAAAGACTTGACAGTGCTGCATCTGTGAGTCATGCCCTCCTGTGCTCTGTGTGTCCACCTCATGCACTACCCTGTGACACTGATTGTATGACCAGCTTGCCCAGATGTCCGTTGCATCCCTGTGAGGCTGTCAGTTTTCCTGTGGATTTGGGGAATGGACCTAGGCAAGGGCTTTCCTTGTCAAGAGTAGCAAGTGTTGAGACCTGTGGGCGCGTGTGGGAGGTGGGAACAGTCCCCCAGAGCCCTGCGGCCACCCCAGCCCTTCCTCTGGGGGTCAGAGTCGTGGGGCTCATCCAAAGGACCCTCCCATGTCATCTCTGAATGGGGCCTGTGCTGGGACAAGGTGTGAAGATGTGGCTGGGGGCAGTGAGCACTGTGGTTGGATGTGGTACTGGTGACTGCACACCTCTCTGCTCCTTGCCTCTCCAGGAGAGCGCCCACGGCTTCCAGAGCAGGCCCTGGCACATCCCTGTGCTGCCCCCTGATGCTCTCCAGTGGTGCCCCAGCAGAGCCTGAGCCCTGTGGCTGTAGGAGCTGAGGATGACTGCCATTCTGCTGCCACAGGGTGCAGGATGTGCTCCGGGCTGGCTGTTAACCCAGCACGAGGGCGAGGTGTGAGGGCTGTTCCACTTCCTGTGTGGCCATGGCCTGCACAGCCCTGGCACCCTCCTGCGCTGTGCGTGCTCTGTGCATGACCCACTGCTGGCAAACATGCACAGCCCAAGCAGCTCTAGTGCAGGGGCCCTGCACAGCAAGTGCCCCAGGGCAGCCCCAGCCCCAGCTCTGCCCTAGCCACCAGCCCTGGGCCCCCCTCAGGGAGGGGGTGGGCCCTGGCAGAGCCTCGGCTGAGGTGGGCACAGAGATACCCTGACCACAGGGCTGCCATGGGAGCTGGCAGTGGCTGGGGCTGCTCCAAGGCACCTGCTCTCCCACGGTGCCCTGGGAAGGATTTCCTCTGCCCCACAGAAGCCACAGGGGGTGTGGGTTATCCCCAGCGGGAGGAGCTCTCTAAGCTCTACAATTCCCCTCCCATAGGGCCTGCTCTTCTTCCTCATCTGCTCGCCCCAGAGGTTTCTCCTCTCCAGCATATGACTCTGCTGCAGAGGGTTCTCTCCTGGTTTTCCTGAGCTTGGAACAGGGGCTTTACCTGCATGGGTTAAATTCTTCTTTTGCTGCTGAATTTCTGTCTCCAAATGACCTGATGGGAAGCAGCTGCTGGTTCTCAGAGGGGCTGCGGGTAACACTGAGGACAGCAGCGCAAGACTCTCTGCAGAGAGTTTTGGACAGTAAAGAAGATTTCTGAGCACAGCCCAAGGCCAGGGCAGATGTGTGGAGTCCTTGGCAATGGCCAGCTGGCCTCTACGCTGGCACCCAGCCCTTGGCCCTTGCCTTTGGTGGGAGGTTTGCTCTCCTGGGGACAGTTGGGTGAAGGCTGGGTACCGCTGTGGGACAGTGCCATGGGCACGGGGCGGCTGGTGCTGCTCTGTGCCCTGGGCTTGGTGGGCTTGTTGCCCCCACTGCTGCTGTGGCTCCTGGGGCTTCCTGGGGGGCTACAGGGTGGGCACAATACAGCCCAGCCTGGCCCGTGTTGGGCAGGATCTGCTGCACATTTTCCTGGAGTGTCTGGGAGGGTGGGGAGGTTGGGTGCAGCTACTTGGAGAAAGCAAATGTTCTGGCAAGCAAAGGGTGGGATTTCCATGGGGTCTTCACTAGAAATTATGTGTACTTTGACTTAATGATGTCTGTGAATCATAGAATGGTTTGGGCTGGATGGGACCTTAAAGAGTGTCTTGTTCCAGCCCCCCTGCCATGGGCAGGGGCACCTTCCACTAGACCAGGTTGCTCAAAGCCCTGTCCAGCCTGGCCTTGGACATTTCCAGGGATGGAGCAGCCACAGCCTCTCTGGGCAACAAATTCAAGAGGCTGAAGGAGTGAGGATTGCTGCTGGTTTGGGGGTGGCTTCCAGGCCAAAAGGGACAAGTGCAGCAAATACCTTCACAGCTGGTATTTCTCGCCACCCTGGAATAAATTTTGTTGATCCAGTCTTGGAAGGACCATGGGTGAGGGAGGGCTGGGGTGGGGGGCAGAGGTTGAACAGGGACCATAGTCCAGCTAGATTCCAGTGAGGGATGGCTCCTTGCACCTTGAAGCAAGCACTCCCTGTGAAGGGACAGCGGCGCAGGCAAGGGAGAGCAACTCTGCCACCTCCCAGACAACCACCACTGCCTCATGGTGCCGCTTCATGGTGTCCAGCTCGGAGCTGGAGTCTGGCACATCCATGGGAGCCTGAAAGAATCCATCACTGAGTCTCATTGGGGTTTTCTGTTGGTTTGGGTTTCTTTTTCTTTGTTTTTTTTTTTCTTTTCTTCCTTTTTTTACTACCGCCTTAGTTTGTGGCCTGTCTTCTTGTGGTTGGAAAGAGTATTGCTACCGGGCAGGTCGGTTGGTTGGCCCCACGCATGATCATGTGCTTCCCTCTTCTCTCTGTCCAACGGGATGTGCTCGCCTGATCTCCCAGAACAGAGACTTTGAACAATTTGTTGTTTATATGATGTATTTATTTTTACTTGTGTTTCATGTCATTTTTTAAAAAAATAATAAATTGTAAGTTGGTATAACTGCCTGTTGCTTCTCCTTTTTTTTTTTTTCCCAGTAAAATAAATGTCAAAATGAAAAAAGGAAAGTGGTGTCGTTTGAAGTGGGTTGGAGCTGGGCTGGGCATGAGCATCCTCTGCACACCTGGGGCCCAGCCTCAGCCAGCAACTGGGTCCTGCTGCTTCCAGCAGCACCTGGGCTCCATCCACACCTCGGCAGCCACCCAGGTGAACATCCTGCCGCCTCTGGGGCCGAGGGAGGCATCACACGGCTGGCCCTTGCCCCTCCCTGTCCTCTGTGGTTATTATTGCTGCTGCTGATCGTCAGTCAAAGCCAGGGGAAAGCAAGGACAATAAATATTCTGCAGGTAAATAGCTCTGAGCCTCGGGGAGGCGGCGCGGGCTGCGTGCCCTGGCCCCGGTGCCCCGTGGGGCGCGGAGAGGCAGCGGGGCTGGCGGGGACTGAGGTAGTAACAGCGAGGCGGCTCTGCACGGCAAGGCCAGAGTGTCCCGGAGCTGGTGCCGACGTGCGAGGAGGGCCCTGGAGAGACCGGGGAGGGAGCTGTGGGCAGCCCGGGCCCCCTCTGCCCTCACAGGCGCTGCGGGTGCCTCCGCACCCGGCCGTTCTTGCTGTCCGGGGCCTGGTGCTGCCACTTGTGCCAGGCCCGCTGCCGCTGCCGCTCCTGCAGCCGCAGGGCATTGCAGTAGGCGTCCAGGCTGGTGCCCGGGGCGCCCAGGGCCCGCGGGAAGCCCTTGGAGCCCGGCTGCAGCTCAGTCCGGGGCCGGGGGCTCTGCTGGGTCCCTCCCGGCTCCTTGCTCCTTTTGTACGGGGGCAGCTCCGCGGCCTCGTGCCGGATGAGGCGGAGGCTGTAGCGGGTGAGGAGCCGGGAGAAGGAGCGCTCCACCGCCTGGCACTCGTAGGTGCCCATGTCCTCCCTCGACAGCTGGCGGATCAGCAGCCCCTGCTCCAGCACCAAGAAACGTCCGTTGTTCCTGACCTGGGGCAAAGACAGAGCTCGTGGGTCAGTCCTTGGGGATAAAAGCCACCCCTGCTCCCGGTCCCTGCCGCCCTGTCCCCATACCTCGCTCGGGGCCGTCTCCTCGCCGCGCCGCACCAGCCAGCGCACCGTGATCTGCGGGGAGCGCGCCAGGCACTCCAGGAAGGTCGAGTTCTTCTCCACCCCAAAAACCACCTTGTCCACCGCGGCTGTCCCTGTGCAGGGGAGGAGGTGAGCGCCCTGAGTGCGGGCTGTGGGACCGGAGGGAGGGAGGGCAGCACGGACAGCCAGCCCGCGGTGGGGGCACGGGTTTCCCAGCGCGGTCCCTGCGGGGCACGGCGCTCCCTGGGCACAGCTGGCTGCCCCCGCCGGGCCATGGCGCTCCCCGGGCACAGCTGGCTGCCCCCGCCGGGGCTGGCACTCACCCTCTGCCGTGTCCTGGCACTGGCTGAGCGGGTCAGCTTTCAGCGCATCCTGGCAGCGGGCACGCCTGTGGGAGAGCAGAGAGGGCTGTGGGATCCCTCCGTGGCAATGCCCTAAGAAGGGGGAGCAGGAAGGGATGGGTGGCAGGCAGGCAGAGTGGCAGTAGGGGTCTGGCTAATGGGTAAAGCTCCAGGGCTGCCGCTTGCCCTTCCCTGCTCCGAACAGCATCACCTTGCAGGGGGATGCAGGGGGCTGGCCCGGGCACACACTCACCTCTTCTCAATGAGCAGGTGAGGGGCGCAGGTCTTGCTGTCCCAGGTGCAGTAGGGATCCCTGGCCAAGCAGCAGTCGGTGCAGGTTTTGCCGTAGAGCTCACAGCGGTACAGGGAGAGCTGGAGCAGCCCATGGGTGCTGCTCACAAACAGCTCCTGCTGCTCGGAAAGCGGGACAGGGGCAGTCAGATCCACTGCTGGGGCTGGCAGGGAGCAGAGCCCTGCCTGTGCTGGGGTGGAGACACTGGGGGACAGTAGGAGAGCGAGACAGAGCCTGCCGTTCCCTCAATGCCCAGGATCCTGTTCCCTAAATGTGCGTCCCCTGGGGCCAAGGGACCCGGCAGAGTGGCTGGGATCAGCTGGTCTCCATCCCTATCCCCGGGCTGTTTAGAGAGAAGCAGAAGGGACACTCACCCGCTTTGGTGATAACTTCATGTCCAGGATGGGAGAAGGTACCTGGAGGAGGAACAAGAGGGTGCTGCAACCACATCAGTCCCTCCTGGGTGCCCCAGCCTACCAAGTAGGACTGTGTCTCCGGGGGTTACAGGATGCCAGGTCCACGGTCACCGGCTCCATGCAAGGAGCCTGGGCCCTGGGCTGGCCCCCTGGCATGGGCAGCCCAGGACAGCCCTGCCCAGCAGCCCTGCTCTCAAACCTGAGCTCAGCCCTCCCATTTCAGTGTGGGCTCCAAAGTGCAACCCACATGCCCCCTCAGGGACTGGATGGGGAGCTGGAGATGACTCGGCTCCAGTCCCACTGGCACCCCTCGGTGTTTTTCTGCTGCCCGGGGTAGAAGCCCCCAGCAGTGAGGTGAGAACCTCCCTGAGAGCGGCAGTGACTCCTGCAGAGCCCGCAGGGAGGTGCCGCGGCCGCGGGAGGCTGTGTGGTCCCATCCTCTCACTCCAGCCCCCTGTGCCACCCTGGCTGCCCGTACCTTAGTGACGCTGATCTCCTCCAGGCTGATCACCTCGGGGCCGCGGCTCGCCCCGCCGGCCAGGGCCACCTTCAGGACTCTGCCGTCATCTGTGAGGGCAGCGGGCAGAGAAGCTGTCAGGGCTGGGAGCCCCCCGGGCTGGCGGCACCAGAGTGCCCCACGGGCTGCCCGGGGTGGCAGCGCTCCCGGGCCGGGCTGAGCTCCCACCTGTGCCCAGGAAGAGCACGTCGTAGTCGCGGCTCTCCGTGTCCAGCCGGTGCACCAGCAGCCGCCGCAGCCGGTAGGGCACATTGACCCGCACCAGCACGGGCTGCCGGCCCTGCGGGTACACGGGCTCCCACATCAGCTGGTGGCTGCGCATGAAGCTGATCAGCTCGTCGGGGAAGTCCTTGGTGGACTGCAGGAGGGGGTCGTAGGTCTCGCTGGGGCACTGTGTGACACAGGGGCTGCATTAGGGCCGGCCCAGTCCGTCCCTCTCCCCCTCCAGCTGCTCCCCGTTCCCTCACCGTGCCGGGGCGGGGGTAGGGGACACGGCCCTTGTATTCCACCCAGCGGTAGTCGAATCCCTCCTTGTGTGCGAAGGGGCCGCTGAAGGCGGCTCTCACGGCAGCCATGGAGTAGATGCAGACGGCAGAGCCACTGAAGACGCCGCTGTGGGGAAGGACAGGGCTCTCAGTGTCCCCCTGCCCCACGGGGACCAGCTGTGTGCACACCCACCCCCCGAGCGAGCCCACGCTGTCCCTGGCAGCCCTGGGATCACACACAGCACCCCAGGGTGACAGGAATGGCTTTTACACAGCTTGTGCAGCCTGGGGATCACTGACTGAGCCACAAAGCTGTGGTTTAACCATGTGCTGTGAACCAGCAGCAGGGAAAGCAGGGAAATGCTGGCGGCCCTTCCTCAGCCTGCTGGTGCTGGTGCTGCCCTTCTCCCCACAGAGCTCCCTCTGAGGGGGGCAGCATGGTGGGGGCTGCACTGTCCCACACAGGCCCTGCTCACCTGGAGACCGTGAAGAGCCCAAAGACAAGGGGGTTCTGGGGGTCGCGGGTGCGCAGGAGGAAAACATCCTCTGCAAAGAGAGGGGTGGAGGTGAGGCACAGGATGCAGGTGGGCATCCCGGGGCTGTGCTGGAGGGAGGAGCCCTGCAGGAGCTGCGTTACAGGGCTGGACACTCACCCAGCTGGTCGAAGTGGGTCTCAGTGCCCTGAGGCCCTGGGATGGAGCACACCAGGCGGGCCTTCAGGAACGTGCTCCAGCGGTTGATGAGGCCGCGCTTCCCTCCAACATCGTTCTGGCAGGACCAAAGAGCCAGGATCAGTCCAGCCTCTCTGAGTCTCCTCCACTGCTGTGCCCTCCTCACTCCCACAGAGGGACACCCCCAGCCCTGAGCTCTCTGCCTGTGGCCGGTGTGCAGTGACACCCTCACATTCCTCTGCTTGGGATGCTCCTTGGTCCAGAACGGCTAGAAGCCCACCTGTTGGGACAACAGGCCACGGGGTGTTGGCAACTGACCTTGCAGACCCTGGCCACCCTGGCGTGGATGTGCCGCTGCTCCCACTGCCCAGCGTCCATGGCCGTCTCACGGAAGAAGATGTAGACTTTATCATCATCGGGGTTGTAGGTATCAGGGATGGTGTAGGCACCAACAAACACGGGCTCTGAGGGGGAAAGGAGCAGCACAATGTGGCCCTGTGCCCTGATCTCACCCTGTGGTACTGCCCTGAAGCCCTTGGGAACAGTGTGAGGCGCTGAGGGGACACACAGCACCATTCCCAGTGCGCAGGCTGTGGAACATGTGCTGGAGCATGGGTCCCACCAGGGGCTTCATCAGTGCTTCCCCCCAAGGAGAGAGGGCTCAGGTCAGAGCTCTGGCCCCAGTGCTGGCCCCAGCCTCTCCCCAGCTGGAAGGAGAGGCCCCATTGCCCACAGGTGCCCCCGCTCCTACCGTGCAGCCAGTGGTCCTGGTTCTGCTCCGTGCGGATGTAGCTCTGCTCAGCCCCATGCACCCAGGTCCGGAAGAAGGCAGCGCTGCTGCCCATGAAGTCACTGGAGGTGCCTGAATACAGCTCCCCACCTGCAGGGGTGGGGATGTGGGTGGGAAGCATCACCATCCAGAACAGATTGTTCCCAGCAGTGCCCTCCCAGCCTCCCCTCTGCTCCTCCCTCCCTCTTACCGATGAGGAGTCCCGTGAAGGGCTCGTGGGGGCTGTAGGGGCACCGTCCTCGCCCCGATTCCAAGGAGTGGGTCACCAGCTGCATGCGGGGAGCCCAGGCACCCTGCCAGAGCCAAGGGGGAGATGTCAGCCCAGAAGGAGTCTGGGAGCAAGCTGGAACTTGGGGGAAAGAGTGGGAAGGAGGTTGGTGTGTCTGTGATGAGTGGGCTCCTCAGGGGGATGCCAGAACCTGGTCCCATGCCCATGGGGACACCCTGATACCCCCAAGCCAGAGCTGCTCTCTCCATGCCAATGCAGGGCCTGCACCAGGTTGGACACCCTCCCAAGGCTCTGGGGCTCCCTCTCCCGCTGCTCCCAGGGTGAGGGGTCCCTTGGCACCTTCTGCCATAGGGATTGTCTGTCCAGGGGTCCCTCACCTTGCCCCGGGCTCCCAGCTGGATGAAGGCACAGACGGGCTGGTAGGAGCCGGTGCCGCAGGCGAACACGTGGCTCTGGTTGTAGGGCTGCAGGAGGCGGATGAAGTTGGCACACTCGGTCTGCACAGGGGAGATGTTTGTCAGGGCTGAGCCGTGCTGGCTGCTGGGGGTGCAGAGCCCGGCCAGAGCCTGTCCTGGCAGCTGCTCAGCTGGGCCCGGCTCCGGCTGGCTCCACAGCGCCGTTCCAGGCAGACCCCCAGGCTCCCCTTCGGGCTGACGAGTTGTTTAATATCTCTGCTGAGCTGCCAAAGGCGACGGGCGGCGGCTGCCAGCCCCACTTACCTCCACGTTCTTCCCTGCCAGCTGGCAGTGCTCGACCTGCTCCCTGGGGGCTGGCCAGAAAATCTGAAACACAAAGACCCCATGGCTGCAGCCCCCGCTTCCCTCAGCTTGCCGTGGCAGCCCTGGGAAGGGGCTCGGCCAGGCTCAGGTGCACAGGGAGGATATGGGGTTGCTCTGGTACAGGACTGACCCCCTCTGAGTCCCCAGTGGGCAGCCTGCCAAAGCAGCTCGCAGTGAACCTGGCGTGGGGACAGAGGCTGGGCGTGCCGTGGCCCACCCAGGCTGTGGCAGGCTCTCCTGGATCCCAGCCTGTGGGAACACCAGGCTGCAGCCCCTTAATGGGATTTTCTTTTGTTGGGCTCTGGCGGTACAGCCGGCCAGCAGGATGTCTTGGGATGCCATTAGTGGGGTCACTGCTGCAGCGCTGGAGGCAGCACAGGGACTGGGTGTGACACAGGGCTCTGGGCACCGCCTGCAGCCCACCCAGGTCACATCTCCTGGCCAAGCCACCCTGTCCCTCCGGCACCAGCCCTTCCCAGCAGGGCGCAGCTCCACCAGGGATGGGCTGACCCCACTGATTGAGACATCCTGGTGTAAATGTGTCCCTGGCGGGGTTGGAACAGCCCAGTTCAGAGCACATCCACCTCCACGCCCTGGCGCTGGGGCAAGGAGGGGTTGCCAGGGAGGAAGAGGCCAGCCTGGCCAGGGCCACCATCCTCCCAGCACTGACCTTCTCAGGCTCTCTGCTGGGATGGTCCAGGTGGAGAAGGAAGATATGGTTTTTTGCTCCCACCATCAGCCAGGCCCTGTCTTCATCCACCAAGAGGGCTTGGAAATCCATCCCATCCCCTGAGGCCAGCAAGAGGTGAGAGCTGTTGGATTTCAGCAGGTCTGAGGAGCACAAACAAGGTGGGAGAAAGAGAAACCCATCCATGAATGACACAATCTGCAGCCAGTGGCCCCATGGCTCCCTCTCTGGGACAGCTCTGGTTATCTATCCTTGCTCCAAGGGTACAGGACATTCGTGCCACTGCCTTGGCAAAACCCACCACCCTTGGCGCCCCTGAGCTCATCATGGAGCCTCCTCCATGTGCTTAACTGAGGGAAAAAGTCACTCCTACAGAGAACAGAACTGCTCTGACCTTGCCCTGGCTGGGCTGTTTGCAGGCACAGCGCAGGACAGGGCAGGACGAGGGTTCAGCCCCGCTAGCTCAGAGTGCTCAGCTTCCAGCCTGCCTTCCAGAGGAGCTCCTGGAGCCCCAAAGCCACCCTGAAACTATGGGCAGAGGATGGAGCAGAGAGGTGACTCACTTGGCATGTTATCCCCAGGCTTCAGATCAAGAGAATTTACATTAAAAAGGTTTTTTGCTGTTTGCTGGGGCAAAGCATCCCTCCAAGAAAAGGCTGGATGGAAACAGAGCCAACACAACCTGCTCTGAACACCCTCTGCACCCACCCCTAAGTCTGTGAAGTGGCTGCTGGGCTCTATCCCATGCACAGGCTCAGGCAGGTGGATGGATGCACTGGGACTGACCCTTGTAGGGGAGATCCCCATCTGTGCCTCCAGTGCCACCCCAACCCAGCACCCCACATTTCCCACTCTGTGTCCTGAGGTGCAGCCTAAACCCAGCATGGGACTGGCTCAGGGAAAGATGCAGGGGTGCCCTGCCCCAGTGCACTCCTTTGGGAGCAGAGACAGGGCAGAGGGAGAGGCTCTGCTGTTCTGGCTGCAGCTCCTCCCGTGCAGCTCCTCCCGTGCAGCAGCCGGGGAGGCTCTCCAGGCCCTTCTGGCACGGTTGTGGCCATGTGGGTGTGTGAGGAGGGCAATAAGCTGTTGTGTCTTGGTTAAAACTCCGGAAACAACATCCCTGGGGCCAGTATTGGTCCCTGATGTGCTGTGCCAGGTTTGGGAGGGGTCTGTGGAGTGAGCCCCCCCAGTGCAGCAGCTGCAGCCCCAGCCCTGCTGCCAGGGATCAAGATGGAGCTTCCAGAAGTCATAACACATCTCTTCCATCTCTAGAATTGGCAGGACGTGGCTGGGGACAGAGGGCTGGCTCCTCTGGTGAGGCTGCTCCTGACTTTGGTGTAGAGCAGGGTAATGGGAGGGGGAGATGGGCTGCACTGGATGGGGGCTGAATGGAGGTGGAATGTGGCTGGAAACTCAGGGAAAACTGTAAGATCCGGGCTGAAAGTCTGCCCCAAGCCAGAGGGAGTGCAGCAGAGCGTCAGGAGCAGGGGAAGGAGGTGCTCAGGGAAGCTGGGTGGATGCAGTGTGGCCGGGTGGATGCAGTGTGGCCAGGGGGATGCAGTGTAGCAGGGTGGATGCAGTGCAGGCAGGTGGATGCAGTGTGGCCGGGTGGATGCAGTGTAACCAGGTGGATGCATTGTAGCCGGCTGGATGCAGTGTAGCAGAGTGGATGCAGTGTGGCCGGGGGGATGCAGTGCAGGCAGGTGGATGCAGCGCAGGTGGGTGGATGCAGCGCGGGCGGACGTGCGGCCCCGGCTGCAGGTGCGGGGGACGTGGGCACAGGCACGGCTCCATCCAAAGGGAACCGGCTGCCCCGGGAGGCTGTGTCACTTCCTTCCACTCCTTTTCAGGGCAGAGGGGAAGCGAGGCCAGAGTCTGCGGGCTCGGATGTCCTCTGGTCCCTGCTGGGCCCGGCAGCGCGGGTCCCTGCCCACATCCAGGGCCAGGCTGGCTCCCAGCCGGCGCTTCCCTCTTCCCTGTTCCCTGCCCCGGGCAGCTCCCATTATGGCAGGGACACAAGTCCTCCTCTGCCAGCAGCAGCTCCAAGCCACATCAGGGAGCTCCTGGTTCTCCTCCTGCTGCCACAAAAACCACACAGCCCTGCTTCTCTCGTGTGCCCAAGGGCTCTCTGGGTGCCAGAGATACAGGGCAGCAGGCTTCCAAGCCATTTCCCACCAGCTGAATGGGATAAACAGCTGAATTCCTGTCCCTTCCTGTGGGCCATTGTCCCTGCTGGGTCTCCAACAGGGTGGGTGCATCGTTCACCCTCCTGTGTCTGCCAACGTTCCCAGGACCTGCCTGATCCAGGAGAAATGTCAGGCAGGGCTCTGGGAGAGGGATTGGGGTGGGAGGGCAAAGGCTCATCCAGTACATGAGTGTAATTAAGGGGAATGAGTACAAGGCTGGTCCCAGTGAATGTCCCTTGCTGGTCAGTGTCAACCCTGTGTGAGGACAAGGTCAGGCAGGGTGCTGGAAGAGCCCTCTCTGCTGCTGTAGTACATGGGAGAACCCTGGAAGGACTCACTGCCCTGCACTCGCACCCTCTGGCAGGTTAGTGACCAGGAGGGTCTGAGCCTGACCCCATGGCTCTGCTCCCTCACCAAGGGGACATCGAGTGCTGGGATCCAGAGCCAGGAAGCTGCTGCACAAACCCCAGCCTCTTCTCACCCTCGGGTCATTAGATCCAAACCTGATGCTGGAGACAGGGAACTGAGGGTCTCTGCAGCAGCCATGCCATGGCCAAATCTATGGGTGAGCCCAGGGAAACATCCTCTCCTTTGTGTTCACTATCTCCCAAGGCCACGGTGTTTGTCTTTATTGCCGGGACCACTATGGATGGCCTTGTCCCATCCATCATCTCCTCCTGCCCCTCAGCCACAGCCTTCCCTGTGCAGGGTGACCCGGAGCTTCCTGAGGTCACAGCCCGGCTGTGCTGGCCTGTCCCCTTCCCCCTCACAGGCACAGCAGCCCACGGAGGAGATCCTGGAGCCCAGGGCAGGCTCGGTGCTAAATCGGGTATGGCCCCTCGGTGCTGTTGGCTGATAAGGGCCGTGCAGGGCAGCCCTTGGGGTGATAACAGAGCCCTGTGACCCCCCGTTCTCCGGAGCACTTGCTGAGCGGTGGCAGGCTCTGAGCCCCGCCTGGCCGCAGATCAGAGGCTGCCAGAGGAGCCTGTGCCAGCTCCCGGGATGTTCCCGCAGGAGGAGCTGCCAGGGCTGCTGTGCTCTCCCTGCTGCCCAGCCTGGCAAGGAGAGGCTGCCCCGGGCTGCCCCGGGCTGCCCCGTGTGCTGTTCCAAACCTCCTCGGGGCTCTGGGCAGGGCGGGAGCCGCCGCTGCTGCTGCTGCTGGCCCCGTGCCCTGTGCCCCATCCTTCCTGTGCTCTCCCGGCCCTCGCTGCTGTCATTTCCTTCTCTCGGCCCTGCTTACGTGTCCCCCCGAGGCTCTGCCCGCCACCCCCATCCGTGCTGGGATCTGAGGGCAAGGCTGATCCCGTGCATGGACTCTCAAAGCCCACCTTTTATTTATTTATTTTTTCCTAGGGGTTTCTAAACCTAAACTTCCCAAGGCATTGTGTCCTTGAACCTGCCCCGTGCTGTCCATGAGTCACATCCCTTCAACCATTGTTCACTTCGAGCTTGAGCCGTCCTGATGCTGGGAGCTTCCTCTCCTGCCCCTGCCCAAGGCACAGGGCCCTTGGCATGCCTGGCCCGGGACTCTGGGGGGCTCTGAAGTCAGCAGTCCCCTTTCTGTCCAGCTGCCCCAGCAGCCCCATCTGCCTCCTCTGGCCCCAAGGAAAGGCAGGGCTGAGCTGGTTCTGGGCTGGGTTATCAGCAGGGCCACCTCCTCACACAGATATCCTGCATCCCTGGGAGATCCCCCTGCTCCAGAGGAGCATCTTTCACTGTGCTGGTTGTCCCTGCCTGGAGAGCAGCTTGTCAGGGTGATGGAGTGGGCCAGGCATGGCCCTGTGTTGCAGTGTGATGCCAGGATCATATTCCAATAGCCCTGGAGCCTGGAGTGCCTGCCCATGGGAAAGCTGCTCCAGCCTCTCCAGGTGTGGAGGGGGCTGGTCCAGCCCTCCCGATGGTCACATCCAGGGCAGCGCTGGGGATGTGCTGAGCTGCCATCCTCCAAAGAATCTTGCTGGTTTTTACACAGGAGAAGCTGAAAGCAGCTCAACTGGCCACATCCATGCTGCCCATTCATGGCAGTGTGAGAAGCTGCCAAGCTGGCATGGTTCTGCTCTAGCTGCTCAGGCCATTCCCCTCTAGGTGCTCCCTTTCCACACTTCTCTGGGCTGTGTTTTGTGCTGTCAGTCTGCCCTTGCTGCATCTTCAGGTCACCAAAGCAGTTCCCCCTCTGCATCAGGCTTGAGAGGAGCAAACTGTGCCTGCCCTGAAGAACTCATCATGCAAACAGAGAGCCAGATGCAGGGAGGAAGGGAGCAGTGCAGCAGGGAGATGATCTGCACAGGGGATCAGTCTCTCCTGGCAGAACAGGAGGGTCAAAAGCAGGAGGGCTGAGCTGGGGTAGCACTGTGGGGGTGGGAGGCAGAGGAAGAGGCTGATGAGACCGTCCCAGGGCTCAGTGTCCCTGTGAGCTGAAGGCAGGGGACATCCCCAGGGTACCCAGCTCAGCCCCAGCCCAGGACACAGCTCCCCCGGCCCTCCCAGGCAGGTGCACACCCCGAGGAACCCCCTTACCTTTGTAGGCGAGGCGGAGGCGTGGGGCGTGCTGCTTCCATGCCCTGCTGCTGCCCAGCTGCTGCAGGAGGAGGCAGAGCAGGAGTGTGGCCAGGGACAGCCAGTGGCCAGGGGCAGCCCTCATGCTGGCACAGGGCACTGGGCAGGGTCTGCCCGCCCTCACAGCACCATGCTCCAGCGCTGAGATGCCACCGCCAATGCCAGCTGCAAGCAGAGAAGGGAGAGGCTGCAGCTGTGGCAGTGCACAGGGGGGCAGTGTGGGCACTGGGCAGGCAGCTGTGGCTGGCACCCTCTCACCTTCCACCCCCTGGGGGCTCCAGCACATCCCATGCCCAGGGAGTTCACAGGGCAGCTGTTCCAGCCTGCCCAGGGGAGGTGTGTGGGGTGGTGTCAGTGTGCCCACATTGTGTGGAACCTGAGAGAGCCTCCAACCTTCCAATGGGCTCTCAGAGCTTGGGCATCCTCTGCTCAGTCTCTGCTCAGGCTCCAGTGCTTGGCAGAGGATCCCTCACACTCATCTATTCTCAGCTTGGGGTTAAACCTCATCCCTTTCACTGAAAGGGAAATTCATATTTTGGAGCACCACCCATAAATGCCATTTCTGTGATCTCCCCAGTATCATCTGTGGCTCTGTGTGTGCATGGCACATCTCTGGCCAGGATCTCTGCAATTCCTTGTCACCACAGAGCTCTCTGAGGCCACCAGCATCCGCTGGCTCCAGGGTGCTGAGGTTTGGAAGGGCTCTTTAACACATACCACCCTTTGGAGGGTACAGGGGTTCACATCCTTCAACACCTCCCTCTTTAATACCCCTTTGGAGGGTGCAGGGGTTCACAGCCTCCCACAGCCCCTGCCAGGAGCAGGGCTGGCCTGCCAGCTCTAACCACTTAATCCAGGCTACTTAGAGGCTTTTTCTCCACTTAATAAAAACCTGGTCCCTGCATGGCAGCTCTGACTAACTCCCCCTCTTGCTGCATATTAACTTCTTCAGTCCCATGACTGAAAGATTTAAAATGAGCTTTTTGGCTCATCCCTGGCCAGAGGCTCTTGGCACAAGGAGCAGGGGATTCCTGCCATCCCAGCAATGGGATGTGGAAGGGATGGTGGAGCCAAGACTTTCCACTGCCTTGCACAAGGAGGAGGGCTCAGCTCTGCCTAGGGAGGAGGTTTTGGGCTTTCTCTCCCTCCCAGCAGCAAACTGTGGTTGGGCTGGATGCAGCTCCTTTCTTGCCCCTTCCCTGCCTTCACCACTGGCTGCATCTCACTCTGATCAGCACAACCTGCTGCTGCTCCAGGTCCTTCCCCTGTACAGGACACCTGGCACCACGCTGGGACATGGATGTGACCTCAGGGTGGTGGCTGTGCTGTGCTCTGTCTCTCTTTAGTTTAGGGCAGCTCTCTCCACCCAGCCAGCCCTTCCTGGGCACTTTTCCACATCAACCATTGCCTAGGGAAGGGACAAAAGCCACCCCATGAGCATGATGGGTTTGGGCAGGCACAAACTGCTCCTGGGCTGTGGAGAGGTGGGGTAGGAACCCTTCAGCCCCATGGGGATTCAGAGGCAGTGCTGCCCTTGCTGCCACAAACACTCCCCAGCAGGCAGCAGTGACAAGCTGCATCTCAGCCCTTCCCTTGCCCAGCACCTGCAGTGCCCCCCAGAGCCACCCTGGGCACTCCCAGCCGTGCCCTGAGCCAGCACTGCTGCCCCAGGGTCACCACGAGGACGGGGCTGCCATCTCACAGGGATTTTTTTTTTCCTTTGCCAAAGTGTGTTGTGTTGCTGCAGGACTTGGGAAAATGCTGTCCTCTAATTGTAGGGTTCTATAAATGGAGCTGGGTCTGTGCTAGGCCTGGCTTTGGGCTAAGGCAGACTTGGAGGAACCTTTCACGAGCCAGGGGATGCCAGGGCAGGCTGGGATTCTGCGGATGGCAGGCAGGGCACTGCTCCTGCCTCAGGACACGTTCACACACAGTGAATTTAGGGCCAGGCACGCACTCCCCTGTGCAGCTCAGCTATACCAGAGCTCCATCTCCTGCCCTGAGAATGCCAGAAGCAGGGCTGATGGCAGAAGGAGCCACAGCCATGCCCAGGAGGATCCCAGAGCCCTGGCAGAGCTGGGCACAGGCATGGGGGAGCGAGGGGTTTGCAGCAGATAAGGAAATTTAAAACCTGCCAGAGGATAACCTCCAGTAAGAAACACTTCCCATGGGTGTCATCCCTCCATGGGCATTTAGGGGCTCCCTCCCATCGTGCCCAGGCTGTGGTGAGGCACATCCACCCCCTGACACCCGGCTCAAATCCTGGCACAGCCCCCTTGTCCCCTGGCACAAGGACATCCCTGGCTGTGCCAGGCAGTGCAGGGACACCGGGAAACAGATCAGCTGGACGGGAAGGGCTCGCAGAGTTTACACAGAGAGGGGGAGCTCGGGTGCCTGGAGGATGGAAACAAGCTGGGAATGATGAATCCAGGGTTAAATTAAACACTCCCGACAGCTTTAAATAATCAACTGTCCAGAGCTGCAACTCTTTCCATCTCAGTTTGGAGAGGGAAGTGCTGGTGAGGGTGGGCTGCTAGAGAAGGGGAGGCAGGGGCTGACATTTCATACTCCAGGCACCACAGGACACACAGGGGAGGACTCGGGGGATGGCAGAGCCTTGTTGGGGGGCTGGCAGTGACCAGGAGTGCCAGGCATGGGTGGCACAGGTGGTGACACCACGGTGCTGGGCTGAGTCTGCCAGCAGCCCACCAGGTGCCCTGGTCCCAGCAGCTTCCCTGTACCCTCCCTCCCTCCCCTTCTACTGGAGTTCTGCAGAAGGGACAGAATCACAGAATGGTTTGGGTTGGAAGGGACCTTCAAGATCATCTCGTTCCAGATGATCACAGGCAGGGATGTCACCCGCTGGGTCAGGCTGCTCTGAGCCCACCCAGCCTGGCTGTGAACACTTCCAGGAATGGGGCATCCACTCCGTCTCTGGGCAGCCCATGCCAGGGCCTCACCACCTTCACTGTAAAGAATTTTTCCTGACATCTAGTCTAAATCTCTCCTCTTTTAGTTGGAAACCGTTTCCCCCTTAGCACTATCTGGCTGTGTAGAAAGTCACTCCCTCATTTTTATGATCTCCCTTTAATTACTGTAAGGCTGCACTGAGTTCTGCACAGAACAGAAGTCCAGCAGGTCCGAGGTTCTGGGCTGTCACACAAAATCCCCTGGAAAGCCTTGCCAGAGCGTGAGCGGCCCGGAGAAAAGACAAATCCCCTCTGTTTGAGACGTGTACAGGAGGGAATCGTTTATCCGCGGCAGCACCAATTTCCTCCTGACAGCCCCTTTGTGTTGCAATGCGTGAATAGTTTAAAGCAGCCCAAATTTCGGCGGGGGAAGGGCGCTGGCAGCGGGTTTATCAGGCTGTAGATTATCTCTGGGAGGGAGACACGCCGAGCCGAGCTCCCGCAGCACCGACAGCGGCGCTGCCATGTGCTCGCTGGTGTCACAGCCCCGATTGTGTCCCGATAATCCCCGGCGCGCTCACAGCCTGCTCGCAGCCTTCTCCGCTTACACGGCAGGGCCAGGGGGCGAAATGCCGCTCCCAACAGCTGGGGAACCTCGGGGGAAAGGAACGGGGGGAGGAGAGGCACTGCATCCCGGTCAGCATCCATCCACAGGGATCGTCCCCACCAGGGGACAGAAGCGCTCTGAGAGGGGGGAGCCTCTCAGAGGGCCCAGACCCCCTCCATGGGGCTGGTGCTTCCCAAGGAGCCCAAGCACCCAAGCCCTGGCTCCCAGGCTCCTGAGGCTGTCCTGCCTCTCCCAGCACAAGCCCTGGTGAGGGTGATTCCCTCTCTGCCACTCTTGGGAGCCGGGACCAAGGAGTCACACCCTGGCAAGGGAACCGAGGGCAAAGCCAGGGCAGGAGGTGCAGAGGACTCGGCCCGGGTGCCCGTCCCGCACACAGCCGGGCTCAGCCGGGTGGTGCCCGCGCTCCTGCCCTGGCAATGCCGGGCCGGGTGCGAGGGGAGCGGGCACAGCCCGAGCTGCGGGCCCCGAGCCTTGGTGAGCCCCTGCCCGCAGCTGTCCCTGAGCACAGCCTGCCCCTCCCTGCTCAGCCCGGGCCGTGCCCGTCCCTCCCCGTCCCCTGCGGGGTGATGGATGCCCCGGCAGCTGCAGCGAGAGGCAGCTGTCGATTTCCCCGGTGGAAGGACAAAGACACATGGCGAGCCCTCCCTGCCTCCCCCGAGCTGACAGGCTGGGGCAGCGCCAATCCCGGAGGGAGCCCGTGCTGCTGAGTGATTTGTGGGAGCAGGACGTGACGGTCCCGCTCCGTGACATCAAAGCTGGGACCACAAACCAAGTGCCAGAGCTTGGGTGGCACTGGGACAGCGCGGCGTGCCCTGGGGAGCATTGGAGTCCCAGTGAAACCTTCAGCAACGAGGTCACACACAGATCTGCAGCGACGAAGGGAGGAGAATTTTGGAGGGTTTGGATAAGGGGCTGCCGGGCAGCAGCAGCAGAAGGCTGAGGCTGCTCCAGCTCAGCCCCGTCTCTGCCATCACAGCCAGGGGCCAGCAGGATCCCGTCCAGCCGGGACATCCCCCCACTGCTGCCTCCTCAGACTGAAGTCCCCTTAGCCCCAGACCTCCCTGCCTTGCCAGACAGCCCTGCTAGAGTGTGCCAAGCACCACGGGTGGGGAGGAAGGCCCCCAGCTGCCACTGGCACCCTGCAGACCCTCGGGCTGCCACCCCTGCCAGCCAGGGGGCTCCCTGCCCACGGGCACTGGGTGACAGTGGCAGAGGGGCAGGGACAGCCCGGGACTCTGGGTGTTATCAGAGGGACCTGAATGTCTGTGGTGACACCCAGAGCAGGAGCACAGCACAGTGCTTGTCTCCCTGAGGTTACAGCAGCTGCAGGCACGCTCCAGTTGGGACCACATCCTCTGAAAGCAAGTGGGGAATTGCCAAGCCTGAGGCTGGCCAGGGTATTAATAACTGTTTATGAAGGGATAAAGAGCTGGCTTCCCTTAACATCCTGCTAATCCCTTTCTTGAGAGGCTGCTGGCTCAGTCCCCACCTTTCCCTTGCTGCTGAGAGGTGAAGCCTGACCTGGGCTGTCTCTTGGGCATCTGGCTG